CCCCCCGCATTGCCATAATTGCTAGGTGTTAGCCAAAGCCGGCAACACAACGCCAACTAAATAAATTTATCACTCACAACAAAAACAATAACAATGCCGCTGTTAAGATAAGCACAACAGATTACGACGCAACCACGCAACCCAGAGGCATTCGAAAAGTACACACAAATTGTTGGCAGACAGACAAGACAGCGTGGCAAACAAAATAAAAATTGACAAAAATAAACAACTTGACGGATGGTTGCTTACCTACATACATATGTACAAATAGATCGCCACACATACATACATACATACATACATACATATGTACTAACGACCAAGTTTAATACGCTATGTCGCCTCTGTTGCCTGCTGTACAGTCATTGTACTCTCCGCCAGCACTCCGCCAGTGTGGCTGGCTATACATCCGGGACGCCGCTGATAACCCTTTCAGAATTCCTTTACAACTCAGACAAACCAGTTGTGTGTGCTCCCCTAAATAACTCTCGGTGCCCCAGCGCGCAGCCTATCTGTATTTATTTGACCGGTTAAAAATTCAGCGGCGTCTCTCGACATTGTTATTGTGAACTTTCGTTTTTGGTTGTGTGTGTGTGTGTGATTTTCTTGTTCTTTGTGCAACAGCGACAAAGCGCGCAATACATTTATTGCAATAATCGAACAGTTGTTTGTTTATTCGGTCGCCGCTGTATGCACCACCGTTTTGTACCGAAAATATTCCAACAATTTATTCGCTTAATTGCAGTTTACATTCACAACGCGCCAATAGCCTGCCGGTTTACATAATTTATCAACCGACATTATTGCGAAGCCACCAAGTCAAGTCAGTAGGTGAGCCAGCCAGTCAGCCAGTCAGCCCGTCAGCCCGTCAGCCCGTCAGCCCGTCAGCCAAGCCGTTGCAACTCAGCGCCGTCTAACAGGTTGGTGGTACCATTGCATTTTAAGCGTGAAGCTATTATTTTTTGTGAATACATATTTATTTGTGTGCATTAAATTATTTATGTGTCTGTTTGTATGCTGCGCTTTCCCGCAACAAGTCCCAGTGGGAAAAGTAGTAATGCATTACAAGCGTGATAAATAATTTGTTGCTTTTCTTATGAATTTTAGATTCTATTACAGATTAATATGTAATCAGCATTCTAATGTATCCAAAAAGTCCAAAAAAAACAGGCATATCAAATCGCATACATTAGGTACTAGGTAATGCAAAATTGAATGTCCCACTCTTCTTAGGACATCGCCGTGGTGAAAAAAGTGCGATTTCGAATGTGAAAACGATTATTTTACTGATTATTTTTCAAGATTATCCTACATTACATTTTCCCACTGGGATGCATCTTTTTCTGTCTCTCTTTCTGGGCACTATCTATTTTCTCATTTAATTTTCGATATTTGTACATATTTATTTCCTTAGTTCTTATGCACTTTCGTAGTCTGAATGTTGTTGTATTTTGTTTTTTTTTTTTTTGTACACATACTTTTGATATGTTTTTATTGTTGTCTGCTATGGCGTGCACACGCATTTGAATTTCTAATGAAGCTATGAAACAATGCGTGTTTGTAAGTATGTAAATATATTTTCCGAAAGTGCCAGCTGCACTCTTTGGCATACATACATATGTACAGTTGTCCACAAAATAATAGGAGTGCGATATTTTGACCAGTTTTGGCTATTTGTCTTTTGTTTATTTAATGTTTATTATTTTTTTATAAAAGCCTAGCTGGCTATACAACAAACACCATATAAATTCAGATTTTAAACTTTGTATAAAAATTATAAAAATTTTGCAATTTTTCACCCAAATTTCAAACTTTTTAATCAGAATCTTTAGAAAAAATTCTGGTATGCAGTTTTGTAGCACATTCAATTCTAGTCTGAAGAAGTGCAAGTTTCAAGCGGCTAAAAAATTCCGTTGATTTTTGAGAATTTTTTTGGTTAAAGGTGTTTCACGTTTTTTCCATACAAAGTATGTCGACAATTTTCTTTTATATGGAGGACACTGCCAGCAAAAAAATTGCCAAAAATCAACGGAATTTTTTAGCCGCTTGAAACTTGCACTTCTTCAGACTAGAATTGAATGTGCTACAAAACTGCATACCAGAATTTTTTCTAAAGATTCTGATTAAAAAGTTTGAAATTTGGGTGAAAAATTGCAAAATTTTTATAATTTTTATACAAAGTTTAAAATCTGAATTTATATGGTGTTTGTTGTACAGCCAGCTAGGCTTTTATAAAAAAATAATAAACATTAAATAAACAAAAGACAAATAGCCAAAACTGGTCAAAATATCGCACTCCTATTAATTTGTGGACAACTGTACATGCATATACACATGTGTTTCTATGCACACACGTGCATACATATGTATGTATAAACACTAAGGTGCAAAAGAAGAGAAACACAAGCTTTATTTTAATAGATACTTTTTAATATTTTTTTTTAGTATTTATTTATTAGAAAATTAATGGAAAATAAGTTTCTAAAATCTGTTCAAAATTGTACAAATTTCTTATTTGAAATGCAATTTTATTTCCTACAGCGTATAAACTTTAAGCTAAATTAAACTAAAAAATAACTCTTATTTTCCAATTTTATAACTAAAACACAAAAAAAAACATGCTCCGGAAACATAAAAAAAAAAATTTATTTAAAGAAGAAAAATTATTGTAAATAGTAGAGACTAATATGGTAATAAAATGTAAGCACATAAAAACAATTTTCTTGTCAGCAGATTCGATTAAATTGTCTTTGCTTTTTTTAATGCTTAATATAACATAAGGACGAATTTAGGTACATATAGTTACATACCTATAAATGAAAATATAAAGAACATTAAATTTTTTTGGTGAGGCACCTTAATGTCTGCCTTAAAAAAAAATATTAAAAAACGGTATTTTTTCTATGTTGCCATTTCACAAACTTTTTCGCATAGTGCAATGACATTTGTTTCACTGAAATATTATTCCCCTATAGAAACCCCAATGGAATTTTTTCGAGAATATTAAGCAAAATATTAAGGAACATTTTTTTTTTCAAAACCAATTAAATCATTTGTATTATACTTCCTCCCCTTCTTCATTTTGCCTTTTCTTCCATCTTTCAACTGAAATCGAAAAATGCTCGCGAATCGCCTCTCATCTATGCAAAGCCCCACCAGTTCCTCATATTCAGATAGGTCCTGCCGAGCTTAGTTTAAATTGTGTTCTTGGGCATCCCTCTTTCGTTGTACTTTCTCACCTTACAACCCAGGACATGTCCAAGCCAGCGCAATCATTATATTTGTATACGATTGTCTATAGAGCCATTCTTTTTTAAGCTTTTTTATGTCATGTCTCCGATTCGCTTCAAATTTTCAAAATTATACGTGTTCGAGGAAATTTTTTTTTTAATTTTTTTCTTCGGAGATATGAAAAGTTTGGATTTTTTCGTGATTTTGACTAATCATGCATTTCTTCAGATCGTTATATCTCGCGTTAATCTTATCGTAGAGACTTTATCTTAACGTTGTTTTAAAGCTAAAGAAACGGGCTTAATATTTCTGTATATAAGTTGGTCAAGCTAACTTAGCTATTAAAAGCTGAACTTTTTGGAGTTAATTTGCATAGTGAAGACCAGTAAATTACGGAATTAAAATTCTACCATCGTAATCCTTCTTTAATTCTCTATAAAAAACGTGGTCCAAAAAAAATGTGGATTTTTCAAGAATTATTTTTAAAATAATTTTCATTATGACGAGACGGTTTATTCTGTGAGAATCAAAAATTTTGTGAAATTTGTTTTCGAAAACTTATGCCGAGATATATTTACTAAGGTGTTTCGGGTCATCGGGTTTTTGCAAAAAGTAAAATTTTATTGCGGATTGCGATAGAATACCCATCCAGATATAATATTTGTACGGCAAGATTTTTTTTTTGTGAGGCGCAAACCCCTAGAAATGGCCGTGTGGCAATTGCAGGACTAAAGTTAGCAAAACGCAGAATTTATTGCACATTTCGGCAGGATATCGCTTCGTTAACAATATTTGTTACACAACTTTTTCAATCCAAATAGCTATTCTGGATAAATACACAATAAAGTCTAAATTTTTGAACTTTGCTTTTAATAGCAGCCACGCCCATTTCTAGAATATTCTTTGATTGACAAAGTTGTGGAACAAATTTTGTTAACGAAGTGATATTCTGCCGGTGACATCTTTTTTTTTTACAGCGAATGAGCATTGCTCGCGTAACAATGGTTTTTGCTGACTCTACACTTGTTTTCAGTGATTGCAGCTTTTCGATGTCGAGCATCCTGGGTTCCGGTCAATTTAGTTTCTTGTTTTCCGAATAGAAGATAGAAATGTAGTTTAATGAACTGCTCAGAAATATTTATATACTCATAATTTTTATCCCGAGACACATTATATTCCGAATTGAGCACACATCAATTAAGATGCCTAAGGATTCTGATTATTATTTTTTAGCGCTCTGAAAACTTATTGCTTCACTTTTATGATAACTTGCGAACCCCTTTAATATTTATACATATTTTTAGCCGTTTAAAGTTTACGACACACAACAATACGACACTTAAGACACCGTTGTGAATACCCATATCGCTCTTAACAGAGCACACTCATAATAAAGAGTTCTACAAATCTGCATTTACTTATTAGGGGTATTCTCTGAGTCTTGCAAAGGCCTTGCACGGTGCACGGATTGCACGGTTTGCAAAGCTGCCCCATATGAAAACCGGTTTTTACCGTGCAATCCGTGCAATCTGTGCACCGTGCAAGGGCTTTGCAAGACTCAGAGAATACCCCTATTGCAATATGAAAAAATAGGAAATTCCATGGCGTGCAAAATGTGTTCGTATTCGTAGAACTTGTTGGAAAATTTATAAATCAAAATAGTGCAATTATATCCGTGTATTATGTATGTATGAATTGTCACACTCGGTTTTTTGGTGTAACAACTGATTTATGTTTATTTTTTTTTCTCCCAGTTGCTTAATACAATTATAGCGTGTTTAAAATGCGACGTCAATGAACGTAATTAGATCAGCCACAAATCATAGAGTGTGCGAAAATATTTAAATTTTACACGGGAAAAAAAGGTTTCTGACTTTAACAATCAAATTACATACAAATAATAAGTTAATTAATTAAATGTTGTGGCCAGCGCACCCACTAGCGTTCAAGTCGGCGAATTATTTTACTAATAAATACATTATATTTAATTTGATGCTTGTTTTCCACACTAATTACAATAAATTTTCACATCGCAATGAATAAAAATAATTATTTTAGGCGTTAGTATATCCATTTGTATGTATGTAAATATGTAAATGTGTATGTGTGCGAAGATGACGACGTACTAAATGGTGGGAAGCGTATAATTATATTAATTTAAAATATTGCTGGGCGAATAAAACAGCGCAAAGTTAGTCGAAAAATTTATTAATTGTTGGCATTAAACCAAAATTATTTTGAGGCTTAAGTTAAAGAGTAAATACCATTTGAACTGATTGTACGGCTGTTATATACAGTGACTCAAACTAATGTTCACATATTGATTTTTTTAAATATTCGAATATGTTTTTCAAGTTAAAATGTGTTTGTAATTACTGTTTTTTTTTTTTATAAAAAATACTGCTTTTGTTCATGCTTTGACCAAGACTATATATAAATCAAAGTTTTGAATTTTATACAAAATTTAGAAAAATTCAACAAATTCTCAAATAAATTTCGGACCTTCTAGCTCTTAAATTTTAGCGGCTAAATCGCGATGACATTCAATAATTCAATAATTTAATTAAAAAAAAAAAAAACTATTTTCCATAAATTGCACTTGTTATATGAAGAAATCCACAAAAGCCATCACCCAAATTAAAAGTTTAAAATCAATGTGATTTATTATGAAAATTTCTTGATTTTTTTTAAATTTTGTTTAAAGTTTAAAACTTTGGTTTGTATGGTTTTAGTTATAGCATGAAAAATAGATTTATAAAAGATAATAAAAGTTTAACTTGAAAAGCATTTTGAATATAAAACAAATCAAAATGTGAACATTTATTTAAGTCACTGTATGCGTGATGAGTGTCTAATCTAAATGTGATACTTCCAGCTCCGAAAATATTTTGTTGAAACGATTTTTTCAAGATGGGCTAAATCTAAAAACTGCCTTTTACAATTCGACAAATTTTTAGAATAAATTTTGAAACCACTCAAACTATGAAATCTGCGATATTTCCAGTATATTTTGGGTTTTTGTACTATCGTTTTTATGCTCCCCGTGTAAAGTAATGCATAATGGAAATATCCAAGTTTGATTGGACATTCCTCATAAATATTTAGAAAAAAAATTATTAAGTCAAAACGTTGAGAATTTTGAAGGAAACAGGAAAAGGCATGGAAAGCTGCCACTGAATCCATAGTAAATTAAAAGTTCAGCAAATTAGTTAGCAAAATTAAAACTTTTAATCGAAGTCACGTTTGTGTGCACGGATTTTTCCTTCAAGCCACTGCCAAAGATGATTTACATATTAGTCATATTGCTGGGCGTATTTTGATACAAATGTCACAAAGTGCTCACAAGTGCAACCGGAAGAAGTCAATTTATGCAAAAGTATGCAGAAAAAAAGTTTAAAAAAAAACAAGTCTAAAAATAATTAAAAAAAAAGACCTCTTGGCTTTTGTGCCCAAAAATAGCTAAGGAACAAATACGCAAATGTATGCACATAAATATGTGCAGCTGTATGTATGTGTTGTGTGATTTTATGTGAATGTGGAAGTTTTAGCGAAATTTGCGAAAGCTATTTAAATTGATTCGTGGCTCCCTGCGTACCCTATAGGAAAATCGAACGTTGAGAAAAGCTTCCTTGCCATAAAAACTTTATTTCCTTTGTTACCATCTAAAAAAAAAAAAAAAGATGAAGAAAGAAACGAAAGATAGCAAGGAAAGTGTCCAGTATTTACTGTGTCCCTAGCCTTGTGGTTGCTAGGTGAAAACCCTAGGCATAATATTACCACTCTTGGAACTTTGTAGTGTCGCAGATAGTTCTATGGCATGCAAGACCAAGAAGATTTATTATTCATTACTTCAATCCACTTAAAAAACGTTTTCACCCCGGTTAGTGCTTCAAAAACGACACTAATTTCAGTCTAGGCAGAAAGCACTACCGTCAACCACGGAAATGGTATGCTAGGTGTCGGGTGTGAGTTTGTTTCCCTCATTCTTCAAACTTCAAGTATCTCGGCACTAGGTATAAGACAGTCTTTATTCTGGCCAAACTGGTTATTGACGCGACCTAGCCCATCAAGATCATAGAACCACTGTTTGAATTCCATCTCTTGCAAAGCTGCTTGCCTAAATGGCAAATGAATATGAATGAACTCAGACGATAGCCGACAGACCAAAGCTTTCATTCCAGGAATTCAGCTGGTATAAGTAAAAAACATTCCTTAAGCTGCGTTTACATGAGGCGATTTTCCAGGTGAATCAACATTGTTCTGGAGAAATCGCTCGTCTAAATAGTGATTCAAAAATCGCTTGATTCAAAGTAGACAGCAAGTCAACATTTGCATGCGGATATCGCCTGTCAAAAAATCGCCTCATATAAAGGCAGCTTTAAGCTCAGCATGCGCGACATTAGGACTAAGTAATTTTCTGAAAGTTGGTTATACATCTGTATATACATACTTTAGATGTTGTATACGTTTTCTTTTTTTTATTCTTCTTTTTAACCTCTGTTCAATTTATTCTTGCTAACATTTTTTTTTTTTTTACTATCATTTCAGCATCTTTTCAAAATCAGTGCACATATAAATAATTCAACTAAAGCTCGCAGATATCACAACTCTCTACATTCTGCATAGTTATCAAGTCAATTCTTTTCTTTTATTATTCAGTCAGGTAAGTTTTTAAACAAAACGGTTTTCTGATGCTTTTCACCTGAATTTTCTTACAAAATTTGCATTTACTTAAACCACATTAGCAGTGTTCCATCGTTCACGTGGCATGAAATGTTGAAAGCACAGTGACAGTTATTCTAATGAGCGTTGAAAAGTATACATGAAGAAGAAAACTTTATAGAATCGCAGCTGAACGAAACTCGGAAACGTTTTTTTAGAAAGTCCTCATATTTACCCATTTGAATACTATTTTTTTAGTAAAGCCACACGTAGAAATCCGTCAAGTCTCAGTGACCATAGGCTATAGCACACAACTATCAACATATTTGTCGCATGCGATAAAAAAATGTCACACACAAAATCTCATCACAATTATACTTTTCATAGGCACATTTGGGGGGGGCACCCAAATAAGCATCCGTAATTTTGTTGCATTTTGCATTTTATATGTATCATAATTCGCTATTGCTCGGTCATTAGCTGGTCAGCCAAATACATATTGTGTTCTCGATCATAGATACGTAATTTATTTCCGCTTGAAGTGCGGCAAACCGGAGTGCATACATTCATACATAGTATAAATTTTGGCATTAGTATGCTCGCAGGCACGTCGTTAAGTAATAATAAACTCGTAGATTGTCAATTAATCGCTGAAACAATTCAAATATCGTTCAAGCGCTCGAGTGCATACAATTACGTATACGCATCGTTGTACGGCAGCGGCACAAATGTGAATGAATTCTAAGTAGAATTATTAACCCCTTTCGCCTGCCTTTTTTAATTCAGCCTATTCAGCGTCTATAAATGTGTGTATGTATTCTATGCACATTCTACTGCTCATCGTTTAATGCCCCGCCCACACATTCGATTGTGTCACAATGGCAAT